TACACGTTGGAATGTTTGTTAGCTCTCCAGGACCCTCATTACCTGAAGCAATCTTAGCACAGACAGTCGTACCTCCGGTACAACATTGACTTACGGAAACTGTAGCGCGAAGACCAACGTAACTTCCATATAACATTGACTTACGGAAACTTTAGCGCGAAGACCAACGTAACTTCCATATAACATTGACTTATGGAAACTGTAGCGCGAAGACAGTCGTACCTCCCATACAACATTGACTTACAGAAACTGTAGCGCTAAGACCAACGTAACTTCCATACAACATTGACTTACAGAAATTGTAGCGCTAAGACCAACGTAACTTCCATACAACATTGACTTACAGAAACTGTAGCGCGAAGAGAGTCGTACCTCCCATACAACATTGACTTACAGAAATTGTAGCGCTAAGACCAACGTAACTTCCATACAACATTGACTTACGGAAACTGTAGCGCGAAGAGAGTCGTACCTCCCATACAACATTGACTTACAGAAATTGTAGCGCTAAGACCAACGTAACTTCCATACAACATTGACTTACAGAAACTGTAGCGCGAAGAGAGTCGTACCTCCCATACAACATTGACTTACAGAAATTGTAGCGCTAAGACCAACGTAACTTCCATACAACATTGACTTACGGAAACTGTAGCGCGAAGAGAGTCGTACCTCCCACACAACATTGACTTATAGAAATTGTAGCGCTAAGACCAACGTAACTTCCATACAACATTGACTTACGGAAACTGTAGCGCGAAGAGAGTCGTACCTCCCACACAACATTGACTTACAGAAATTGTAGCGCTAAGACCAACGTAACTTCCATACAACATTGACTTACAGAAACTGTAGCGCGAAGAGAGTCGTACCTCCCATACAACATTGACTTACAGAAATTGTAGCGCTAAGACCAACGTAACTTCCATACAACATTGACTTACGGAAACTGTAGCGCGAAGAGAGTCGTACCTCCCACACAACATTGACTTACAGAAATTGTAGCGCTAAGACCAACGTAACTTCCATACAACATTGACTTACGGAAACTGTAGCGCGAAGAGAGTCGTACCTCCCACACAACATTGACTTACAGAAATTGTAGCGCTAAGACCAACGTAACTTCCATACAACATTGACTTACAGAAATTGTAGCGCTAAGATGATCATCACTCCCACACAACATTGACTTACAGAAATTGTAGCGCTAAGACCAACGTAACTTCCATACAACATTGACTTACAGAAATTGTAGCGCTAAGATGATCGTCACTCCCACACAACATGGACTTACAGAAATTGTAGCGCTAAGACCAACGTAACTCCCACACAACATTGACTTACAGAAATTGTAGCGCTAAGACCAACGTAACTTCCATACAACATTGACTTACAGAAATTGTAGCGCTAAGATAATCGTCACTCCCACACAACATTGACTTACAGAAATTGTAGCGCTAAGACCAACGTAACTTCCATACAACATTGACTTACAAAAATTGTAGCGCTAAGATGATCGTCACTCCCACACAACATTGACTTACAGAAATTGTAGCGCTAAGACCAACGTAACTTCCATACAACATTGACTTACAGAAATTGTAGCGCTAAGATGATCGTCACTCCCACACAACATTGACTTACAGAAATTGTAGCGCTAAGACCAACGTAACTTCCATACAACATTGACTTACAGAAATTGTAGCGCTAAGATGATCGTACCTCCCACACAACATTGACTTACAGAAATTGTAGCGCTAAGACCAACGTAACTTCCATACAACATTGACTTACAGAAATTGTAGCGCTAAGATGATCGTCACTCCCACACAACATTGACTTACAGAAATTGTAGCGCTAAGACCAACGTAACTTCCATACAACATTGACTTACAGAAATTGTAGCGCTAAGATGATCGTACCTCCCATACAACAATAAGTTACAGAAACTGTAGCATGTGTAGTGTAGCGCTAAGACAGTTTTGTGGAATAGGGCAAAGGACCAAATGACCTTAAGATGAAAATGTCCATCTTTATGATTTCCAGCAAAACATTAGTTGTTTCTGTGACACTGATTAATATGAATATCAAGCCTTATAGTGGGTTTTTTTACTATCGCAATACTATTGCAACACAACCGAAAGCCCAGGCAAGAGACAAGGAACAGAACCCAGCATCACCTCCAGCATGTTCAGGTGTGTCCTGACGGCTGCTGGGTTTAAGATAAAAACTATAACAAGAAGCCTACCTGATGCTTGTCCTATTTTGAAGTGTAATTGGAACACAACATTATTTTCACCTTTTGGCCCAATTGCTCCATCTTGTTAGGGAAAAAGTGTAACTTTGTTGTTGATTTTTTTTCTCCCAAAATTGATGGCAGATCAGTGATCTTACAACTAAAACAATTAATGTTGAGTGCAGGGATTTACTGGATACATGCTTGCTACACACACACAAATTGAAAAGGACACAAAACTAACACTGAATGCACCCACAGAGAAGCAGATAATGTGTATTCATGTTGAGGAATGAATGCTGCTATTTCGGTATTTGTTGCCACTTGAAATTTATTTCTGTACACAATCAGTTAAAACGTCCAATACACAGTTGAATGATTCACAATCTTCTGGCGCAAGATTGGTTTCAGTTGGCATAGATGGGGATGTCCGCCTATAACTAGCAAACAGCCTGCGAGCCATCTGATGGTACTGGGGGTAGAGTACTCTATTAGCTTTTGGACATTTCCCTTGGGTCTCCATTTGTTATCCTGAGACTCCCATTTTATAACCTTGGACCCCGACACAGGGATTGATTTGACTGCTTGCCCGTTGGCCCATGGCCAGTTACAGTTACAAAGGGCTTGCTGAAACTTAAAGTAGATGGCCCGTCTGGCTAGTCGAAATTTCACCCCTTCTCCGTGTCTGTTTACTTTTTATCCCCCGCCCAACAAAGTTGGTGGAGGATATTGAAATGGGTTCTGTCCGTCCGTCCGTCCGTCCGTCCGTCCGTCCGTCCATGTGTGCGTGCGTGCGTGCGTCCCGAAATAGTTCCCGGAGCATAACTCAGAAACAGTTAAATATTTCTCTACGAGTCTATCAGACTCATGCTTAAATGGTGCCTATTTAGGAATTTTGTAAATTTTTATTTTTTATGTTTCCATGGCAACAATTTGGACTTAGGTTCTTTAAAGGTGGTGTTCATTTCCTGAGCGTAACTCAAAAACTGTTTAATACTTTCTTACAAAACTTTACATGTCTACCAGGCACATACTGAACTGGTGTCTTTTGCTATTTAGGAATTTTATAAATTTTTATTTTTTATGTTTCCATGGCAACAAATTGGACTAAGGGTCTACAAGGGTGGTGTTCGTTTCCGGAGCGTAACTCAAAAAACGTTAAATACAAATAAACTTTTAAGTATTTCCTCGTCGAACATTGCATGTCTATATATAAAGCACATACTGAGCTGGTGCCATTTGGTATTAAGGAGTTTAAGAAATGTTTATTTTAGAATTTCCATTGCAGCTATTTTGACATGGGCTAAGAGAAATATTAGGTCAGTTACTTGGTTTGGGACCATAACGTGTTAAAATATGCCGGGGATATAGATGACATCGTCGACTATAAGCTTGTTTTAATTGGATTATGTCGGTAAATAAGAACCGGCCTCCATTTTGTAATGTTGTGTACAGCAACTTCTTTATTTGCTCATAAATCAACACAAATGAGGCAAATGGAAGCCAAGATGCATGCAAAAACGTTTTACGGGTGAGAAGTTGTAAAATTTTCAGAGCCCTGCTAGGTGGCTACGCGACCTCAGGCTCAGCCACTTTGTGGCCTCCACCACTTTGTTGTAGGCCAGTTGGGAGAAGGGCCAGTAACGTTTAAAAGGAGCAGGCCCTGCTGGCTACATGCAAATTTGTTGTACAATCTACCTCTGAAGATCCGGGGTAGAAGAGGTCTTCAGCAACCCATGCGTGCCATAAAAAGGCGACTGTGCTTGTCATAAGAGGCGACTAATGGGATCGGGTGGTCAGGCTCGCTGACTTCTTTGATGCATGTCATGGTATCCCAATTGCGTGGATCAATGCTCACGATGTCTATCACTGGATTGTCTGGTCCAGACTCGATTATTTACAGTCCGCCATCATATAGCTGGAATATTGCTGAGTGTGGCATTATACAACAACCAAAACAAAACAAGAAACAATCTACCCCTGCTACAGTTAAAGGCCTTTAGTTCCCTGGATCCCCACAATAAATGATTCAGGTCAGTAAATCTCTGTGAGTGTGTATCCCAAGTACTTGCTAGTGACGGCGTGTGATTATTACCTGTGAGTGTGTATCCCAAGTACTTGCTAGTGACAGCATGTGATTATTATCTGTGAGTGTGTATCCCAAGTACTTGCTAGTGACAGCATGTGATTATTATCTGTGAGTGTGTATCCCAAGTACTTGCTAGTGACAGCATGTGATTATTACCTGTGAGTGTGTATCCCAAGTACTTGCTAGTGACGGCGTGTGATTATTACCTGTGAGTGTGTATCCCAAGTACTTGCTAGTGACAGCATGTGATTATTACCTGTGAGTGTGTATCCCAAGTACTTGCTAGTGACAGCATGTGATTATTATCTGTGAGTGTGTATCCCAAGTACTTGCTAGTGACAGCATGTGATTATTATCTGTGAGTGTGTATCCCAAGTACTTGCTAGTGACAGCATGTGATTATTACCTGTGAGTGTGTATCCCAAGTACTTGCTAGTGACAGCATGTGATTATTATCTGTGAGTGTGTATCCCAAGTACTTGCTAGTGACGGCGTGTGATTATTATCTGTGAGTGTGTATCCCAAGTACTTGCTAGTGACAGCATGTGATTATTATCTGTGAGTGTGTATCCCAAGTACTTGCTAGTGACAGCATGTGATTATTATCTGTGAGTGTGTATCCCAAGTACTTGCTAGTGACAGCATGTGATTATTATCTTTGCTTTTTTGTTTCAGGGAAGATATGAAGGTCAGCCATTACATCATCAACCGCATCCAAGTGGGGAACCAGACCCGCTTCCGCATCGGTGACCAGGAGTTCCCCGATATTCCGAGCCTTCTTAACTTTTATAAAACACATTACCTAGATTCTACGTCATTAATAAAACCGGTGAGTAGCCGACCTGGTGTCAGGCATGTGTGAATACAGTGATGTTATAAAACATGTGTGTCAGGCATTGTGAATACAGTGATGTTATAAAACATGGGTGTCAGGCAATGTGTGAATACAGTGATGTTATAAAACATGGGTGTCAGGCAATGTGTGAATACAGTGATGTTATAAAACATGGGTGTCAGGCAATGTGTGAATACAGTGATGTTATAAAACATGGGTGTTATAAAAAATGGGACTCAATCAATGTGTGAATACAGTGATGTTATAAAAATTGTGACTCAGTCAATGTGTGAATACAGTGATGTTATAATAAATGGGACTCAGTAAATGTGTGAATATAGTGATGTTATAAATAATGGGACTCGGTAAATGTGTGAATACAGTGATGTTATAATAAATGGGACTCAGTAAATGTGTGAATACAGTGATGTTATAATAAATGGGACTCAGAAAATGTGTGAATACAGTGATGTTATAATAAATGCGACTCAGTAAATGTGTGAATACAGTGATGTTATAATAAATGGGACTCAGAAAATGTGTGAATACAGTGATGTTATAATAAATGGGACTCAGTAAATGTGTGAATATAGTGATGTTATAATAAATGGGACTCAGTAAATGTGTGAATATAGTGATGTTATAATAAATGGGACTCAGTAAATGGGTGAATATAGTGTTGTTATAATAAATGGGACTCGGTAAATGTGTGAATATAGTGATGTTATAAAAAATGGGACTCGGTAAATGTGTGAATATAGTGATGTTATAAAAACGGAACTCTGTATCATGTATCAATTTTAAACTTAAAAGTAGATATGCTGTTCGGTAATTTGCATGTGTATTAGACTATATGTGTCATGAAGTACACAATTAACATTTTCTGATCCTGTTTTGTATTGATTTTCAGGCACCAAGGATTAAGATTGTAGCCAAATATGATTTTCCTGGAAGGGTAAGTTTCTATTTTTATGGTGTTCTTCATAGTGAATGTGTCTGCATTTGATTACTTAGATTACCACACAGACACCACACAGACACCGCACAGACACCACACCACACCTCACAGACACCACACAGACACCACACAGACACCGCACAGACACCACACAGACACCACACCACCCCACACAGACACCACACAGAAACCACACAAACACCACACCACACCTCATAACACCACACAGACACCGCACCACACCACACCACACAGACACCACACCACACCACACAGACACCACACCACACAGACACCACACCACACCACACCACACCACACCACACCACACCACAAAGACACACCGCACAGACACCACACCACGCCACGCCAGGCCACACCACGCCACACCACACCACACCACACCACACCACACCACACCACACCACACCACACCACAAAGACACACCACAAAGACACACCGCACAGACACCACACCACACCACACCACACCACACCACACCACACCACACCACACCACACCACACAGACACCGCACAGACACCACACCACACCACACCACACCACACCACACCACACCACACCACACCACACCACACAGACACCATGCCACGCAACGCAACACTACACCACATCACATCACACTACACAGACACTACACAGACATCACACCACACAGACACCACGCCACGCCACGCCACGCCACGCCACGCCACGCCACGCCACGCCACGCCACATCACACAGACATCACATCACATCACATTAGTCAATTAGTAATCTATCATTTGTTACTCAACAACTTTTGTCACTTTCCCCCCAATGTAAGGCCTATTGATGTATATTTTGGTATGATTTTGATATTGTTCATTGTTCAATAAATTGTGGGGGAGAAACTTTGTCCAGCACTAACTATTACTGTGAGAACACTTCCTTGTCCCCATGCCTGACTGGCTATTGTTGTAATGAGTGCACCAGGAATTTGTCACACTCACGCTGTACCTAATTATGTCAGTGTGACAGGGAGACGTCGACAGGGCATGTCTCAAAACCTTGGAACTCATTTGTTTTATCAGATATTATGTATGCAATGTAACGGACACCGTCATTTGATTGAGTGGAAATTTAGAAGATATAATAGCTGAAAACTTGATATATAGGGCTAAGGCAAACACAAGCTACTGTTTAAATGTTTATGAAAGAAAACTGTTGCAAGAGTTGTTGAGAAAGTTACAAGTGCTTGAGTTTGAGAGATAGTATCTATGAAGTGCTCTTCAGGGTAGACAAAAAAAACTGATGTTTAAGTACCTCTTCCCATGAAATTAGGATGTCTAATTATTCCCATCTGGTCCAAAGGGATGTCCTGCATCTGCTGGGGAAGTCATGTTGTCATTGTCATGGAGGAAATTTGAGCTGAATCTAAGTGTGGCAGGCCAGTAGGGTTCAAGTCTGTTGAAATTCAATATCGCTGCCTGGAATAAACACATGTTGATGATGTCAGAATTACTTGAGGTAGGGATTGTTCTTTGTTATCCATGAAACTGAAGATCTAGGGAATCTCACGCAAGCGTCTTTTGATATCAAATATGTCAGCACGAGTCAATAGAGGCTTAATAGACACAAGGGCGATATTCTATTAATCATCCAAAACTGGCCTTCACAGGATATCTCAGCACTGAAATTTCATCACAATGCTTTGCAGACCATTGTGACATCATTAGATACCATGACATCACAATCAAGTGACATGACTAATCTCTCTGCTGGTCAGTTTTACTTCTGACACTGGTTGTTAGTAGTAGCAGTAGTAGCAGTTGTAACAGTTGTAGCAGTAGTACAAGCAGTAATGTAGGAGTTGTAGTAGTAGCAGTAGCAGAAGTGGCAGTAGTAGTAGTATTAGTAGTAGTAGCAGCAGTAGTAGTAGTTGTGATCACGTGGAATGACTCAGTGTTGATGCTGTTGCAGGACCCTGAGGATCTCCCGTTCCTGAAGGGGGAAGTGTTGGAAGTGATCTCCAAGGACGAGGAGAGCTGGTGGACAGCCCGCAACAACCAGGGTCGGGTCGGACAGATTCCCGTGCCGTACTTTGGCAAGGTATGCTGTGTCATCAGAGTTGAAAAGACCTTCCATATCTCATGCATGTCCGGGGTAGACAACATTGGTCAGATCCAACTAATCCTCAGCTTGTTTAGGGCTCGTGGTTTATGTAAAATAACTCCATGTTTGGAGAAGACAATTAGTCTTCATATCTTTACCATAGGAACTAACCTCAAGGACCCCAGGATTCCCTTGAATGGTGAGGAATGTACAGCCTGTTTTAAAACTTTAAGAGAGTTCCAGATACCTTTTTGAGCAATTGAGTTTTTACTCGATGGTTTCGATTTAATTGGGCTATTACATTTTTCATTGCGTAACCAATATTTTTTCACTAATCTATTCATCACTCTATTGGATTTATCCAAAAACAATTATGTTTTTAGATGTATACAACGGTTCTAAATATAGGCTTGACTCGTAAAGTAACTTAGCTTGTAGTTGTGTTTCGGAAATTAGCTCCTTTGTACACATGCTGAAAAAGCTTCATTGGGTATTTACGCGTGCTGTTTTTATACATTTGAGTTGTTCATTATTTGCATGCGTTTTAACGCAAGTTAATTGAAAGTGATTGGGTTTTGAATATTTGGGAGGGGGGGGATATTTTACGCAAATACACAGCTTATCCGTAGCTCTGTTTAATGAAAAATATGAATACACAATACCATGGGAGCCGTGCCAATTTACACTTTATCAGAGGGGTACACAAAGTGCGTGATCTAGACAACCAGTTGTCGGACTTTCATTTTTGTGGAAGCCTTGGCAGCTGAGTTGGTTAGATTGCTGACTTGTGTGCTGGTGATTAGGTGCCTCACTCTGGCAGTGTGGGTTCGAATCCCGGACGGGACTCAACCCCACAAAGTACCAGAATCTGTACTTCACCAAGAAAGTGTTATCCCAAATATAACATTTGTCACTTAAGGAAAAAATAGATTTCATTCTAAAAACTGTTAAATTCCATCAGTGTCACTTTTGTTGTGAAGTGTTTGAAGGGTGGTTTCATCCTTGTGGCGGCTGATTGATGTGTGAGTGTGATGTTCTTGCTAGGGAGACTCACAAAGAAAGGTAAATCACAGAGTCTGCAGCTCACAATGTAGTGTCTGGACTAGACTTGGGTATTTACAGCTGCAGTATTGCAGTATGGGGTGGTGTTAAACAACAAACAAGTTGAATGTATCGACTTTCCTTGCAGTATCAGGAAGTCACGAGCCCACCTAGACCAGACTACCAGAGTCCAATACCACCAATGATAACAGACGTAAGTACAGATACCACCGATGTTAACATACATAAGTACAGATACCACGATGTTAATAGATGTAAGTACAGATACCACGATGTTAACAGACCACTAATGTTAACACTGACACCAACGATGTTAACAGGCATAAATGCCAATAGCACTGATGTTAACAGGCATTAATGCCAATACCACTGATGTTAACAGGCATAAATGCCAATACCACTGATGTTAACAGGCATAAATGCCAATACCACTGATGTTAACAGGCATTAATGCCAATACCACTGATGTTAACAGGCATAAATGCAAATACCACTGATGTTAACAGGCATAAATGCCAATACCACTGATGTTAACAGGCATAAATGCCAATACCACTACTGTTAACAGGCATAAATGCCAATACCACCGATGTTAACAGACCTAAATGCCAATACCACTGATGTTAACAGGCATAAATGCCAATACCACTGATGATAACAGACATAAATGCCAATACCACTGATGTTAACAGGCATAAATGCCAATACCACCGATGTTAACAGACCTAAATGCCAATACCACTGATGTTAACAGACAAATGCCAATACCACTGATGTTAACAGACATAAATGCCAATACCACTGATGTTAACAGGCATAAATGCCAATACCACTGATGTTAACAGACGTAAGTACAGATACCACCGATGTTAACAGACGTAAGTTCAGACACCACAAACGTTAACAGACGCAAGTACAGATAACACTGATTTTAATAGCCTTTAGTACAGTTATCACCAATGTTAACAGACCACTGATGTTAACACTGATACCACTGATGTTAACAGACATAAATGCCAATACCACCGATGTTAACAGACAAAAGTGCCAATACCATTGATGTTAACAGACACAAAAGCCAATACCACCGATGTTAACAGACCTAAATGCCAATACCACTGATGTTAACAGGCATAAATGCCAATACCACCGATGTTAACAGGCATAAATGCCAATACCACTGATGTTAACAGACTTAAATGCCAATACCACTGATGTTAACAGACAGAAATGCCAATACCACCGATGTGAACAGACATAAATGCCAATACCACTGATGTTAACAGACAGAAATGCCAATACCACCGATGTTAACAGACCTAAATGCCAATACCACTGATGTTAACAGGCATAAATGCCAATACCACCGATGTTAACAGACCTAAATGCCAATACCACTGATGTTAACAGGCATAAAAGCCAATACCACTGATGTTAACAGGCATAAATGCCAATACCACTAATGTGAACAGGCATAAATGCCAATACCACTGATGTTAACAGGCATAAATGCCAATACCACTGATGTTAACAGACAGAAATGCCAATACCACCGATGTGAACAGACATAAATGCCAATACCACTGATGTTAACAGACATAAATGCCAATACCACTGATTTTTTTGGCATAAATGCCAATACCACCGATGTTAACGGTACCTGGAAGTTTATCAAAACATCACTGACCAATAAAATACAAGTATGTTACATATATGTCAAGGTAAGTACAGATAGATGTGAGATGGATGTGATGACTGACTGAGTATGTTGTTAATAGAGAGATGAATGATATGTTTGTTATGTATAATCTTCCTTCCTTTTTTTCAGGTTACCCTGCCAGCCAAGGCTACTGTGATTACCCAGAGGATACCCAATGCTTACGATAAAACACAGCTGAAGCTATTGGTAGGTTGGCTGGCGATAGTGGCCCCAGTTTTCTGTGACATGGGCACAGGTGCCCCAGTCATTCAAGGCACCGTAATTCACTCTGCTGAGTTGCATCACCTATGCATGCCAAGATCTTAGGGTTTGAAGCAAAGCCCTAGTTATGAACCTTGGTTTGTCAACTCCACGTCCACAGGCAAAGAAGTCTTTTCTATAAGACCATTCAAGAGGACTCTTCTAAACTTTAATTACTAGTCCTTAGAGTTTGTAGCAAGTCCTGCTGGAACGAGACACAAATGTTAGCTATGTTTTCATTTTCTGTCAGTTTTATTCAGTTCCAATTTGTGGCAATATTGAAGATCCCCATTCTCAATGTCCCCTGCCTTGCTGTGCTTGATACAAGAAATTATACTTAAAGTAATGTGATACTAAAAGCGATGTAATACTATAAACAATGTATTGTTAAAAGCAGTGTAAAAGTCACAATTTAGATACACTTTTTTTGTTTCAGAAAGGGGAGATAATCACAGTCACAGCAATGAATGTTAACGGACAGTGGGAGGGAGAGGTGAACGGAAGAACTGGAATATTCCCCTTTACGCACGTCCGATTTTTATCCCCCGATGAACTGGAGAGGCTAAATCAATGAACTCTGCTGTAGATAATGTGTAGAGGGGGTTTCCACTGGACACCCAGCATCAACACCCAGCATCAACACCCAGCATCAACACCACGAAGGGACGACTCGTCACACACCAGCAAACACTGTAACCAGTATAGCAGCATCATGCAGGGATACTGCCCAGGGAGCTGAACCCCAGGGTAGTTCGAGCATGTGTGTCAAGCCAAGCAGTCGATATATGTCCGGACGTCTCAGTGTATGTGTCAAAGGGAGACAACTCTTAATGGTGACAAGAGTCATGCTTCTTTGCTGATTTGGTTAGTCAACTTTTATTCCGTTTAAGCCGAAGAATATTAAGGTGTTGGTTCTGAGTTTCATGGATTTGAATATTTGGGTAGAACTATTGAAATGTGTTTTTGTATTTGAAATAAATTCAAAGGATATGAAAAATGTTTCAAGGATATGATCATGGTTTATTTTTTAAGATTGTCTGAGCCAGGCATGAATACAAATATATTCAGTAGAATCCTCAGTACCACACCTGTGTAGGGCCTTCTGTAGCACCCGTCATTTGTTTCAACATGTCAGCTATGTTGTGTACAGAATTCTTTCAGAACACAAATCATCAGTTAATCATTGCATTAGATTAATTTACATCAGTGAGTTGTTTTCCTGGGTTTGTCACTAACCCAGATTGAATTGTTAATTTTCTGAATTTGTGAAATTATGTGATTTGTAATTGCTGATGTTATGCTTATATTGTATAATATATATATCTACATACCTGTTTACCAGTGTAAATACTGTAGGGAATATGAGCCTATAGACTCTAGATCAATGTGTAATGAGATAGGTAGATGTGGATAATCAAAATAATTCATGTGTAAAATGAAATGTTTTTTTAATCCAGAGCCCCTATGTTATGGGTTGACTGATGGGACGCTAGTCTCTCTTACCGAGTTTCTGTATGAAGTTATCTCCCCTTTTAGTGCTCAATTGTCTGTATTGGACTGACACAAGGTGTTTGGGGATCGACCCAAGAATAAAATGTCAGATTTGTTCATTTTGTTTCAAATATTAAACATTTTCTCTTTACTACCAAATTTGTCTTAATTTCTTTCAGTCTCTAATTATCTTTGTGATCATCTTTCAGAGCTACAGATAGCAGCATATTTGTGTAAAATACCCCCCAAAATTATTCAAAACCCAATTTTTTTCATCAACTTGCGTACAGAAACGCATGCATTAAATGAAAAACTCAACTGTATAAAAACAGCCCACGTAAATACCCAATGAAGTTTTTTCAGCATCTGTACAAAGGAGCCAATTTCCAAAACACAATTATGAGCTAATGTACTTTCCGAGTCAAGCCTATATATTTAGAACAGTTATATACATCTAAAGCATTATTTTATTTTATTTTTTAAATCTTAAAATGTTCACTAATTTTGGAAAACCCAATAGAGTGATGAATTGATGAGTGAAAAAATATTGGTTACTCAATGAAAAATGTCATAACCCAATTAAAATAGAAACCCCAGAATAAAAACTCAATTGCTCAAAAAGATATCTGGAGCTCTGATCTTTACTATAACAAGACAATCTGTCATTTTATGTTACAATAGATTGTCTTAAATTACCATAATTAACATATTTCGTAATCATTTTGGTTGGCTAGTTGTACAGAAGTGTGTCACAGTGTATTCTTACCTACAACAATATTCATGAATTTTGTTCATTATTAGAAATTGTGTACATAGTCATCATCATGAGCGTCAGTCGGACGTTGATGTTATCCACTGCGATGTGATGTCGGAGACACATTTGAACCTGTGAGAAAGTGGTGCTGAAACGAGCAATGTTTAGTAACCATGGTAACTGACCTGCAACTAAGCATACAGTATTTTGTAGTCTGGACCAGTTTATTTCTTGTTTCATGGATTATCTGAGCTAAGATGAGGCATGGATGCCCAGAGTGGTGATGGGTGATGTAAGACAGATATATCTGCAGTGCAGCAATATGGGAGATGGCGCCAGGAAGTTTCAGTCACAGCTGACTACATGTCAATTGTTTCTGATTTTCTTTGCTGAAAACATTTATCGTGTTTGAGAGTAACGCTGCCTACAATGTCGCGACATGGACTGAAAACAGACACACCATGTTTGACATTGAGGCAGATTTATCTGTAAAACAAGTAAACAAACTGGACTGGATCAATTTGAAAATATATCTCCCACCTTTAGTGTACAAGTAGATTGTACAGATCTTTTGAAGAAAACAACTATATTTTAGTACCCCAAATTTACTTTGTGAATATGTAATGCATGTGATGGAGAATGAGTGAGTGAGTGAGTGAGTGAGCCTTCCCCGTGTATCACTGTCCGTGTATGACAGCCGTAGCCCAGTGTCGCCAGGTTCTTCACAGGCGACTCCATAGCAATAATTGTGACATCGTCAATACTTCACACGTTTTGTCTACACCAAGTTTCTCCATCACCTCAGAATACATCGGCCGAGTTGCGGTGTTGTTGTGATGTGTGTCTAGTTGACTGATGAAGTGAGACCTTTTGTACTCCTGGAACGCAAGTGAACTTTGTGGAAACCCTACCATTGCCTCATATTGAAGCAGTGTGTTGAATCTGCACATGCTGGTTGCGATGTAATCTGAGTGCTCATTGGCTTCCTTCTGAACCAATCAGTGGCTTGATTCATGAGTCAAAAACACTGACTTCATCCCAACTTGGCAGTTTGTATTGACGGAGGATGCAGGAATGTAGGACCACACCTGTGAAGCATTGACTGTGTAATTGTGAGCACTTCCCGTGAGTCACATTGAAACAAACCAAAGACAATAACAATACGTCTATGCATGAACTGTTAGTGTCCATCTAATGATACTTTCTTTACAGAATGGGAAATCTAAATGCATCCGAATATGGTGAATATTGAGTAAGTCAACATTGTTTAACTTGACAGTTTGTCACAGAATTTACTTAGTGGGTTTGTGTATATTGAAATGATGTTATTACTTAGTGGCATGTGTCGCATTGCGTAGCGAGCTCTCCATGGCGGGGTTTTGCCTGTTGTATGTATGAGGAATTGTCCTCGCCAAGTTCAAGTGCTCAACACCGTGACCAGTCACCTTTATTTTTGTACCCAAGGTTGTGCACTGATCGACAATTATAAAGTATTTTTATACTTTTACACTAAAGTAGAAGCTGTCAAAACCCACCACGTAGTTGATTATTTTGTAAAGATGTAATTTTTTTAAAGATTGTGGTACTCTAGTCTAGGGTTGTTCGAATCAACTGACTGTAACTGTATTCATAAGTATTGTTACTGCTAGGTAACCATGGAAACTACTGTTGACACGCAGCCACAGTTATACTCTTCCACCCACCAACTTCTGTCCCCTGTCCACCCGTCTTTCTCCGAACCCGCCCCACCCACCCATCTATCACCCTCTCTCAACAGTTACCCTCCCCACACCCCATCTATCCCACCCACCCTACCTACACCCCCACTCCACCCACCCCTGTCTACTCCACACACCCCATCTATCCCACCCACCCTACCTACACCCCCACTCCACCCACCCGTCTACACCACCCACCCCATCTATCCCACCCACCCTACCTACACCCCCACTCCACCCACCCCTGTCTACTCCACACACCCCAGCTATCCCCCCTACCCTACATACACCCCCACTCCACCCACCCCTGTCTACTCCACACACCCTAGCTATCCCCCCTACCCTACATACACCCCCACTCCACCCACCCCTGTCTACTCCACACACCCCATCTATCCCACCCACCCAACCTACACCCCCACTCCACCCACCCCTGTCTACTCCACACACCCCATCTATCCCCCCCACCCTACCTACACGCATACACACACACACACACACACACACACACACACACACACACACACACACACACACACACACACACACACACACACACACACACACACACACACATGAATCTTATTGACCCATACCTCCCCACCCACACCCTGATATGAGTACACCCAAAGTACTGAAGTATCACACGTATTATTAGCAGGTGAAGTGTTAACAGTTACACTGACCGGGTAACCATGTATTTGCAGGTAGCAGTTCCACCAAGACACAGTTGCTGTTTATATATATTGTATCAAGACTTGTGACTCGTGTATTCAGTACTATTCACCTTGGTATTTTAAAAGGAACATAACTGAAGTTGAAGTTGATCAGGTCCTCTGCACAGAGCAATAAGATGCAATGACTGTCATTAATCTATGTAAGAGTACCGTAGCACTGGACCGTGCGTGTGGACATGCATACGAACACACCATCAGGACTCAAGGGGACTGACTATAACATGCCATGTGATTAATGTCGTTAATGTCACCATTAGACAAGTCCGGTTCAACTGCCTGGTCGATGGAGACATAATAAGAATCTTAGGTCACTTGATGACTTCATTGCAAGAGGAGGGACGTGTACCAACTAATATATGTTAGATGCAAATCTGAATCAACTATTTTTGTAGTTCAAACCCAAATTTGGAAAGAATCCTGATAAGTAGGATGTTATTTTGAAGATTGTTATACTCAAGCTCTTTGAACACATCTTGTCCAGCTTGTCGCTGTGTTCCTGTCTGTGTCCAGCTGTTAGTTCCGACAAGAAACGTTCTGCATATTTAATGTTTCCAGTTTGATGTGCTTCATGTGAATACCTGATCTCCGTGTGGTCGATGTTTGGGTTTACACACTGTCTGTCTATTTCTCCTGGTTATTGTGTGTTACGTTGCCTAGCTTCGGACTTAGGCGGGACTGTTAGCTTTTAGTTCCTTGATTCCATGTGAGGTCATCGTGCACAGAGCAATGTGTGCCCACTGGCGGGGCTTAAACAGGCATTTGTAGCAAGATTTCTACATGAATACACTTACATTAACATCATTCTACCTCCATGTTATTGTATAGTGCTGATGTACTTGTAAGTAGAACAGAAATAGGGCCCACTTGTCTAAGGAAACACAGTTTGCTGTGCAGAGTTGTGTCCCTTAGGTGGGCCAGGATCATATGATGCCATACTAACTTCTGACGCACCTTATTGTTAAATAGTAAGCCAAAAGGATTTTCATATTTTGTCTTTTGTAGTATGCCCTTGCCCTTGAAATACTCTGACAATTGCCATGGGATAAGTATGAGCCTGAAACAGTCAGTGTGACATATTTCAGTTGTGAAAACCAGTGAAACAGTTCCTTTAAACAAACAGCCAGCTTCAATTTTGTTCATTTTGATTTTTCTGCCATTTTAGAGTTTTCTTGATAGATAATAGACTGTATCATTATGTATGAGGAATGTCTATTCTGTACGGTTTCCAACTGGTTCTGAGGTTGGGTAAGCAGTATGTTGTATACTACTCAAAAGAATTTAAGGAACACCCAATTCTTTCATGTTGCTATAGTTAATCGGGTGTCATACAATGACAGATTAACCATAGTAATATGAATTTATTAGATGTTCTTTGACTTCTTTTGAGTAGTATATTTGTGACTGTTAATAATAATAATAATAATTGAGGAAGTATTATGGAATCTTTGTTGTTTAGGTTTGCACAGTTTGTGCTTCATACTTGTGGAAAAGTTGTAAAGTGTTACGTTTTAGCTGGTTTTATATCAATGACCAAAGCTGCTCAAATGCCTGGTTACAACGCCCTGCAAACCATGGCACACCTTGTAGCATGTATATCGAGGTTATTATTGTTTTGCATCACGTTCTTCAGATTGGCATAACATGGATTGTCTTCCCTTGTGATAGATCCATGTTTGTTGGCAGTGTGGCGATGTTCAATGTGACAACACCATTGTGAATAATGCATTGGATAGCCAGGAAATGGTGAATAGAATCTGGTCCCTCAAATGGAGAATGGAGAAAGTGTGATCACTTAACACGGTTGATGGTATGTTTGTGATGTCAAGAATTGCCTGAATGTGCTTGATTGTTTTAAGGACTTGTGTGTTATTCCTTGTTAGAGGTCGGTCATTCACGAAGACACAGTATTACCTCCCCTTATGACAGTTGTACATAGCCAGTCAGGGGTCA